AGAGCTATCTTGTTCCCTAGCTTGTCCTTTTTCTACTCTAACCAGTCTCACAGCCCTCAAATGAACCTGAAGGACACAGAAATAAGGCCCTTCATTCTCATAGTTACCTTCCTCTGGATGCTCTCAGATTTACCAACTCCCTTCTTGAACCATGGTTCCCTAAACTATATTTGCCTTTGATAATAGTATCAGTTCCCTAGGATTTTAAGTGGTATAGCAGATAATCATTAAATAGAGTACTGGACTTGGAATTGGGAAGACCTGAGTTAGAATTCTGCCTCAGACACATAATAGTCATGTGATCTTGGACAAGTCACTTAACCTATCTATCTGTCTTAGTTTCCTTCCAGGGTTGTTATGCATGTTAAGCAAAATAACACATAAACATTGTATAATATTTAAAGTACTATAAAATGCTAGTCATTATTACTAAAATATAACTACCTACTTATTTTAGACATCAGGCCTTTTTAAACTAGCTGCAGACAACAATTCTCCAAATGAAATCTGACGAAGTGCAATAGAATTGTTCCCTCCTTAGTCCTGGATATTATATCTCCCATAATGTAGCCTAAAATTATATCAATTTATTTGGTTGCCATATTACAGTGATGATTCATATTGAGCCTGCAATTACAAAACCCATTAAATCTTTTTTTCAGATGAACTACCTTTTAGCATCACCTCCTCCATCTTGTACTTATGAGGTTGGTTTTTTTAAACCAAGTGTCATTTATCCCTCTTAAATTCCATCTTCTTGGAATTCAGCCCAACATTCTAGTCTCCCGAGATATTTTTTTTTAATCCTGCTCATGTTTTTGCTTTCCCTCTGTGGAGTTACATTTACATGTGTCGTGTAAATGTGATAAGCAGGCCATCTATGTTTGGCCCAAATTCAAATGATTATTATTTGAGGAGACTGGAATTTGTATGCCAGTCTTCTGAAACCAAGTCTAATATCCTTGCTATATCACACTAAATAGTTGAAGGTGTATAGTTTAGTACAGAACCATTAAAAGCAAAATAATGATTTTCATAACAATTTGTATAGATTCACCTTCTCCCCCTCCAAAAAAAAAAAAAAAAGAAGTTCTGTGGCTCTTTGGCCAGTGTTTGAGGAGGAAAAAAGGTACTTACAGTTCCTTAAAAGGCAATAAAGGCAATGGGTATACTTATATAGATTTTCTTCAGGTAGGAACTATATTCCTGAAATGACCTTAAGAGTCAAATTGGTAATAGGGATAAAGCAATGGACTTAGAAGACCTGGATTATAACTCATCCATTTTTTCAGTTCTCAAATAACTGACAGGGAAAATCGGTGGAAAGAGTGCTAGGTTTGGGGTAAGAACACCTTGGCTGGATCCTAGATCTGCTACTTACTATTGATGTAACCTTGGATAAGTTACACGATCATTCTAAGACAGGGTCCTCACATGTAAAATGAAGGCAGTTGGATGAGATGACTTCAAAGGTCCTTTCCATATCTAAAATCTGTGACCTGTGAAACCCACCAAACCTCAGTTTCTCCATCTATGAAGTAGCATTAATAATAGCTATACCTCAAGAAGTTCTTAGAATGTAGATTAAATTCATTACATACTTTAATGGACAATATCAATTTTGAACCTCATACTTATTAGTCCTCCAAAGAAAACTAAGTTATAGATCAAGAAAGATAACATCTGCCCAAAACATATAAATTCATGCTGAATGTATACAATGCATTTTATTGCCTTTACAATAGCTTTACCATAGCTTTACAATAGCTGCTGAATATGATCTTGAACTACTATAATACTGTTTCTGCAATGCAATATCCAGAATGAAGGAAAATATAGTCATCTGATACATATAATTGATTTCACATGTTTGCTTTTCTTAGTGATAATAGAGTAAGCCTACTTCAACCAAATATGAAAATGAATAAAATCATTATGACATAATAGTCAATGACAATTTATATTTATGATATATAGCGCCATGTCCTCAGTAGAAATATTTAATAAAATCACTATAACAATATTCAGTGAAAATTTTTTATTTGTGATGTACTCAAAAATATTAAACAAATGAACAAATGATGGAATAGTCTCATAACGTTATTCATAAAACTGCCTTTAGGAAATTATTACAAGCTTGCCTTAAGAATATAAGCTATAGGGGCAGCTAGGTGGCACAGTGGATAGAGCACCAGCCCTGGATTTAGGAGGACCTGAATTCAAATCCAGCCTCAAACACGTAACACTTACTAATTGTGTGATCCTGGGCAAGTCATTTAACCTCATTACCTAGCCAAAAAAAAAAGAAAGAAAGAAAGAAAGAAAAGAAAAGAAAAGAAAAAGGAAAAAAAAGAATATAAGCTATAATATAGAAACAAAGTCCAAACCTTATCCTCAACTCTCCATAGATAATCACTTAATTCAGACTTCTATTTTTTTAAAATAAATATTTACTAATATGTTTTGTTGTTATAGCCCTGGTATTTCTTTGTATGGTTTTCTTTCTGGCTCCCTACTGAAGAACCATCCATTATAATGAAGTCTGAAGAAAAGAAGAAAGAAAAAATTTCCCCCAACTAAATATATATATTTAAAAGACTTATCCATGACATTCTACACTCATTATCCTGTATTTCTACAAACATGAACAGGAGTCATCTTCTCATCTGATAATGTTTTTAAAGAGAGTAGATTCATAGATTTACAACTTTGGAACTACCTTGACATTATCTAGTCAAGTGCAGAGGCAATACCATCTAATAAATAGCATACTGGACCAAGAGTCACAGTTTTTTGCTTTTAGACCATGGATATGTCACTTAACTTCTCTGAGCCTCAGTTTACTCATCTATAAAATGGGAGAGATAATGCTTATAGTACCCACCTTAAAAGGTTGATATGAGATCCAAATGAGATAATGTTAGCAATATACTTTGAGGATGTTAATATATTTTGGGAAATGTCAGAATAAAAAAGATGACTATGGAAAGAGAAAGATCCAAAGACACAAAAAGAAATAGAAAGAGAAATTTGGATTCTCACATATATAGCATAGAGGTGGGAAAAGGGGAACAGACAGGAAAAAGGGAAGAGACAGGAAACAATAAAAGAACTTAAGGAACCCAGACTCCATTCACTGCAACCCAGCTTTTGGTCTCCAGCAGGCATAATTTTTTCTTGCCAGCCCAACTCTTGCCCATGGCTTAACAGATCTATTATTTCTTCTAGACCATTACTTTATATAGCTTCAATGTCATTACCATCATTCTCCCCCTCCCCCAACTCTGCCCACTCCATACCACTGCACAAACTTGTCTATTTTGTATATCCTTTCCCCTTTCTGGAAATGCCTGTGAAGCACTGAGGTGATTATGGCCCCTAACTCTTTGAATAACCTTGAGCAATCATTTAATCTCCTTGTTTTTCAGTTGTCTCTCCTGTAAAATAAAGTTTGACAGGATAATTTCCCTTTGAGATCCTTTCTGTCTGCAGTCTTTTTATGATTTAATGTGATGGGGATTACAGAAAATAAAGGCAGAAATAGCTACTGATCTAGAAGTGTGATATTCAGAGGAGATTCATGTTAGAAATGATACAATTATGAAACATTGAGGTATAGTAACAGGATATCTATCTGAAGTAGAAGAGAATACCAAAGGTGTGGGGACCTTATTAACACTGAAAAAAGATGAGTAAGAGAATATTAGCTGCTATCAATCACTATACCTACTTTCTTTTGTTGTTCAACTATTTTTCAGTCATGTCCAACTCTTCATAAACTCATATGAGGTTTTCTTGTCAAAGGGACTGGAGTGGTTTCTCATTTCCTTATCCAGCTTATTTTACAGATGAGGATACTAAGGCATGTAGGGTTAAGTGACTTGCCCAAGGTCACACAGGTAGTAAAGTATCTATGACCAGATTTGAACTCACCAAGTTGAGTGTTCCTGACTCTAGACCCAGCATGCTATCTGTTGTGCCATCTATCTGCTCATATTTGCTTTCTTAGGAATACAAAATTATAGTTAGAATAATCTACATGGGAATATATTTCATTAAAGGCATAATTGAAGATTATTTAAGAGATGTTACAATAGAGATATCCTTGTTTAATCACTCTCTGCACATTAATATCAGCTAAAGCATGAAAAAGGAAGATGCGTACTCATCATAGTGTAGAACATTTTCAAGGAAGAGAGATTGTGTAGATTCCAAATTTAAAAAGGATTTTTCATAGATAGCAAAGTTCACCATACGCTTCTGTTTGGGTATGGTACCATGCTTGTTGTGCCAAGCTCCAGAACATTACAGAGCCTCCTGGACAGTATCCTTAACCATGTGAAATTTTGGTCTGACCATCCACAAAGGGAAAACAAGAAGATGATAAATTACTCCTGTCCAGATTTTGACATGGAATTAGATGGACAAAATATTGATTACATATATATGTAAATATATATATATGTGAATAAATGTAATTTACACATATATGTAAATATACTGAAAGATGAAGTATATATATATACATATATATATGAAACTGAAAGTGCAAAATGATTTGTAAATATAATTTAACATGAAGTGGAGAGTGAACCTTTGGGAAATGGGAAAGCTCCTTTAATGAAACAAAGGCATATCTTTTTAATACAAATATTCTACTACTTGTGTTGTTTGGCTCCCAGTCATCTATTATTGAGGCAGCTGGTTGTCTCACTGAATAGAATGCTGAGCCTGGAGTCAAGAAGATCTGAGTTCAAATCTGGCCTCAGACACTTATTAGTTGTGTGACCCTGGGCAAATCATTTAACCTCTGTTCACTTTAATCCATTAGAGAAGGAAATGGCAAACCACTCTAGTGTCCTTGACAAGAAAATACCAATGGGGTTACAAAGAGTTGGACATGACTGAAAAAACAAACAAACTGAACAACCACAACAAAGTAGAACAGTTGCCATTCTTTGTCTGATGATATATATGTATATATATTTTTAATGTTTCAGGCCCTGCTTGATACTCAGAATCTCTTGAGAGCTCAAATCACAAATTTTACTTTCAACCTGGGATTTTCAGGGAAGTTTTATCATACAGGTAAGTTTTTGATTTGTTTTAAGTCAAATTTATTTCAATTTTATTATTAGTGTACTATAATAGAGTGAACATTTATCACGTGTCTACTATGTGCCAGGCACTGTGCTAAGAGCTGGAAGCAGTAACATTCACGTACAAAGGTTCAAGTAATGACCTTTGATAGTATGGTTGTAGGTTATCAGAGTTAATAATATATATGATGGGAAATAGTTCACCGTATTCCTTATACTATGCACTAGGATGCCTGATATAATCAACCTGTAATTTTAAGAGTCTTAAAAATGAATGTCTATTATTTAAATTTAACCTGTAAGTACTGTATAAAAAAGATTAAGGGTAATTTCCTGTGGGTTTGAATAGTTTGGTGGTTTTCATTCTGTTATAATGACACATGAATTACTCTGAATTTGTGTCGATGGTGCTTTAAAAGCTTTAATATTATGAAGTGCACTTTTGAGTCTATTCATTTGCCACTGATGTTACTAGGAATCTCACATTTACCTGGAGATTTCAATTCATTTCAACAAATATTAAGCAACTGCTTTGTGCTCCATAGTGCTATGTGTTTTAACATTTTTTTAAAGTGAGGGATGATATTATAGATGTGAAATACAGTAAATTCCATTCCCATGGAATTTAACAAGGCACAAGTCTTGACACAAGAAGCCTGTATAGCATAAACATGGGCATGTTATGTTGTTTTATCACATCTAATTTGAGGAGGTGATAAGTAGGAAATGGTGCTTCTATCCAGGGGTGAGCTGGTGTTTAACACCCAGCTTTCAAGGAAAAAATAAAAGCATGTACAACACACTTTTAAGTTTAATCTGTATTGTTAACATTTTCTCCATCACTTTCTTGTCAAGCCATTCAACAAAACAGTATATCAAGCCATGATTTGTACTGTTTGTCAATTTCTGAAGTATAAATTCTCACACAGAAAATGTAATAATCAATTCTCATGAGCCAGTTCAAGCTGACTCCAGCACACCCCTGCCTCTATCACATCTGAAAAAAGCAAGAAGTGGTAAAAGATCACAGAACAAAAGGCTACCAGAAATAGAAAGAACTAGTGACAATTTAGTCTGACCTTATATTTTACAGTAGAAAAAGTGAACCTGAGAGGTGTGTCAAAGGTCACACAGGTAAGAATGAATAAGATCTTTCAGAGCTGAACAGGACCTCAAGAGATAAACACACACACACACACACACACACACACACACACACACACACACACAGAGTTGTTTCTACAATAAAACAAACAAGTGATCATGCAGCCTTTACTTTAAAACTCTCAATGAACGATAGCCTACTACTTGCCAAGGAGAAACTCTCAATGGTTCATTAGTTGTTGATTTTGTTTTTGTTTCTGTTTTACCTTTAATCAAGTTAAATTTTGCTCTTTGCAATGTCCACCCATTGTTCCTACTTTTGCCCACTGGAACCAAACAAAACAAACGTAACTGGTCTACTAGGTTAACAATCTTTCAAATAATACTTAAAGTCTTCAATCAACTTTTTCCCAACTCTTCTCCAGGCTGAACATCTCCAATTATTTCAACCTAATTTTAATGATATGAAACTTGAATCTTTGAAAGGATTTCCTAGCTTCCCTAAAATAACAAAATATGCACTATTATTATGATTATTTTGTTTTGTACCAGCTTCATGACTGGCCTATAGAACATCCAGTGATGGAAATGGCTCTGCCAATGAAGATTAGCACATACCTCTACAATTTCAGCCTTTGAGATTTGTCAAGGGCACTAAGGGATTTAAGTGACTTGCCCAAGGTAACACAGCTAGTGTATCAGAGCTCAGGTCTGATGAATTCTGAGGCCAGCTCTCTATATTCTGTCATGTCTTTTTTAACCCTTCCAGAAACCACTGGATGCTAAGATCATTTAACTTTGAAAGAACAATCACCTTGTCTTTTGTTCCACAATATTTTTTTCGATGAACATGTTTATCTAAATCACACAGCTAGGAAGGAAAGGCCATTGTTATTATTGATAATATTTTTGTCACTGGAGACAAAAAAATGACCTAAAAAGTGATTGTGAATGTGTAAGTGTGTTTAAGAGTGTGTTTGGGTGGGGAGAGAAAATATGATATTTTAAAGTTTCATAATTATTAGCTAGATATGAGAACAACAGTGAATAAGTCTTTTTATTTATGTATGAATATTGTTTTAAATATATAAGAAAGTTCTTTTTAACCCTCCCTATTCCAAAATTAGATATGTAAAATGGAAGTTACTTTCTACTTAAATATATTTTAAAATAACCACAGAGAATCAAAAAACTTCAAAAGATCTATATTTTTATCAAGATGAGTATTCCCTCTAACAATGCATATCACAGCCCCATTTCTAAGCACCCTAAATGATTTTTGTTCGTGCCTATGCCTGAATCAACAATATGGGGTCTGGCCAATAGAGAGTCAGTAAAATTAGCAAATCAAAAATTAGCTATATGGTCATAACATACTTTTAATTGTTGGGTTAAATTTATAAAAACTTACACATATCTGAAATCACATCTTAATTAGAAATATAGCTAGTCAGATACAATGCAACTATTACTGACAAGTGAGCTTTCTAGTTTGTCCAATACAACACCAAAGCATTCAGCAGAGCTATATGATGCACACAAAACAGAGTCCAACCCTTTAAAAGGAAGAATTTTAGTTTCAGCTCTAATTTGTATTTCTACCTTTGATAGGGTTTTGTTATTGTTTTTAAGCAGACCAATGGTCAAACAGTAAGCAAAGTCAAAAAAGTGAGGAGCCCATCAACTTTTGTCTTTTTTTTTAAAATCTTTACATCACCAGCTACTTTTTAGTAAACACTTGAAGGAAATAGCATTGAAGTAATATAAGGGGAAAAAATCAGCAAAGATAGAGTTAAAAAGTATAAGGAGGCAAAACCAAGTCAATTGTGCTGTTAATAGAAATAAAGTCATGATGGTTGCAAGCTTCCCTTGTGTAATTCCTGTATCCTCAGATTTATGGATCCTTTTATGTTGAATTCAGTAGGCATAATGGGTTATTTTTCCAAGGAGCTCTTTGAATCTGTTTCTTAGTATTGAAATAAAATGAAGCCCTTGGGCTGGACTAACAAGTAAAATAAGCTTAAGATGTGTGGCAAGAAAAAATGCAGACATTAGGGAAGGGGGGGCAGGGTGGAGTTGAGGGATAATTATGAGGGATTATTTACATTAACTGTGAAACCTGCAGATCCAAGTGAAAAGGTATCCCCTGGGAACAAGAGTTTACCCGTTTCTCTTCTGTGCTTCTCTCAGCTCTGTTTTAAGCACAAACATATGGCAGTGGAACTAGAAGTGAGGAATGGAATGATTACCTAAGGTTCCCCCAGAGAATGAGTACTCACAGGGTTCTATGCTCTCTGCTAGGGTGGGAAAGCAACAGCTGAAGTAGCTGTAATCACACAGTTAGTATGATATCTCATTGAAACAAGAACAATTGTAAAGGCAAAGGGAAAAAGGATGGAAAACATCAACCACCCTAGTGAGGGGGATAATGAGGTGCATAATGGTAGGAAATAAGCCACTAGGAACCACTTGCCTTCAGCATATTATAGTGGTAAGAAGCCTGGATGTGCAGCCCAAAACCTTGCATTCAAATTTTGTCCTTGTTACTAATGGCAGACTCTCATTTTGTTTTGTTTTCTTGTTTATTTTTACAGTTTAGTTCTTTGATTTTTAGAAGAAACCTCCCTCTGCCAGTAAAGTTTAGAACTTTCTCTTCCACTTATAGTCTTGAAGAGTTGATTGAGATTCTGAAAGATTAAGTGACTTGACCAGGGTAACAGCATGTATAAGTTAGGACTCTGAGTTGAAGCCAGATCTTTCTGTCTTCTTAGTCATCAAATAGGTATATTTAGACAAATAAAATACTATCACTCATTTATAAATCATTTTCCTGTCAACCTGTGAAGTATGTGTCTTAAATACTGTTGTACCCACTTTATAGGTGAGAAAATTGAGGGTCAGAAAGATTAAATGACTTGCTCAGAATCATCCAAGATAGCCCCATAAGCCTCAGTTTTGTCATCTCTAAAAATGACCTTGAAGTCACTTCCAACACTAATCCCTCTATTCCTGGGTCAAGCAAAGGCATATTTATCAACACAACCTTTGCTTGTGCCCCCAAAAGTTTAGGCCTCTTTTTTTTAACCTTTTGACCATTGAGCCTTCTACAGTTGACTGATCCAATCTCTTTGAGACTCTAGAAAGTGACAATGGAAATATTGGAAACAGAACCCAAGCTGTTGACATGAATGACTTTGGTCATGAGTAGTTGATCAGTTTCTATAAGTGTCCATAGCCACCAAATACAAACATATAGAGAGTTACAGAAAGGAACCAGATCAGGGCCTGGGAACATAAAAATTGGGGGGAAAAGTTGAGATTCAAGAAGACCTGAGTTCAAATCCAGCATCAAGTACTTTACTAGCTACGTGCACCTGGGCAAATCATTTAACCTCCGTTTGTCTCAGTTTTCTCTTCTATAAAATCAGGATCATAATAGCACCTCACTTGTAGGGTTGTTATGAAGATAAAATGAGATATTTATAAAATATTTTGCAAACCTTAATGTGCTATGTAAATATTATATTTTTCATCATTAACTTGTACTTTTACATGTAGTTTTATTGTTAACTTGTACAAAAGTGTTTAAGGAAGGGGAAAGGAGAATAGAAGAAAAGTGGCCTAGCATAGGAATGCCTGATTTAATAAGGAAAAGAAAGATCCTTCTCTGAAATAAAGTACTTAGCCAGATGAAAGTGAAAGTCATCTGTCTTTATTAGGGTATTGCCTCATTTGTTCTATTCTACATCATTCAACTCCTATGCTTTCTTTATAAATCATGATGTTAGTGCTGTTGTTAGAGGCGCAGTCAGCATCTTGCCCAGAAATAGGAACAATACTGAAAACTGTGAGCTGAGTCTGCACTACAGTAAGGGACATCGGGGGAGTTAAAGCGGAGCTGTGTTGTACCTCTATAATGGGCTTAAGGGGGTGGTGTATAAGAGGATATTTATGGAGAATGTTGCTAGTGCTGGCAGACTTAATTAGGCTGGCCAGCCATGGTGTCTTTATATGGCACACAGTAAGACTCAGGTGAGCTCCCAGAATGTGGGAGGTATGCTCTTGTATTGTTTAAGGTCCATGAGAATGAATTTCCCTGTGTCAGTGTCTCTTCTCTGGATTGATGAAGCTGGGTCTATGTGCCTGGTGTAGTGAGCTACCATCCCCCTGTGACAAGGAGTGGGTGTTCCCATAATTAATGGCTGAGTCTATAATCATCGTAGAGCTTTGAGATATGGTTTCACCTGCATTTTGGATAAAAGATTATCCTGACACTTCAGTAAAGGTGCATTTTGAGAGTCCAAACATAACTCATGATGACCAGATAACCCCATTGTGTTGCTTTCTCTTTGGTAATGTTTAGCATTATCCAGTAAATCATACACTATGACTCCTTTTCTCCATTCCTAATTGGCATTCCTTTTCTCTTGGTGGGGAAACAAAGTGAATGAGTAGCAGTGGAAAGGGACCAGGGAGCAGTTGGCTGTAACGTTATAGTAATCTGTCCATTGTCATTAGACTCTAGGGCCCTATTAAAACTATTCACTTTAGCTCTGCCAGCTTCTACTATTGAGAGAGAGAGAGAGAGAGAGAGAGAGAGAGAGAGAGGAAAAAAGATTTCTTTCTTTATACTGTGAGCATGTAGTTTGAAGAATTTGCTGCTGTAAGAGATTGTGGGATCAAATTCTGTGGCTGAATTTTAAATAAGGCTGGATAATTTTATGACCATTTATATCATTTGAAGTTATGCCAAGAAAATAGTTACTCACATTAGAGTGCTCACATTTCATGCTTTGGGAAATAAGCTGTATGCCTGGGGAAGCTGAAAGGGTTTTTTTTTTTTAACTTTTTCTATTAGTTAATGTGCTTTACTCTGAAGTTCAAATATTGGTTACTGTCAATGGGGGGGAAAGCAGAAAGAAAAGAACAAAAGCCAGCTACAAGACAATAGAAGGCTAGTAAGAGGGCTGACTCTGCTGAATTAGGTATCTCTGTTGGATCCAGAAGTCCATTTCCCTTTACATAGATACCTTGGACTGGAATGGAGTCGGCATCCTAATTATTAGTAAATGACACCACAGACAGTTTTTAGAGATACTTTGTCACCTCTTGTTACCTCTGTTGTCTTTCCATATCCTTCATTCATTTTTTTTTTGCTCTTTCATTTCCATTGTTCTCTCTATCCCTTTTTTCTCTTTCCCTGTATCTGCAGTACTACTGTGAAGTTGTCTAGTCCAACAGAGAAGCAACACCATCTAATAAATTGCATGCTGGAGCTAGAGTCAGGAACATAGGTTTTGTTGTTGGACGTGAATATGCCAGTTGACTGTTCTGAGCCTCTGAGGCTAACAATCGCAAGGATTATCCTTAACTAGCCTCCCCTCCAGATTAAAGGGGATCCAACATAAAGAAACAAATTATTCTGATGGCATAACTACCTCCTTATGTAAAAATCATATTTTCTGTCTTTCCCTTAACCTTCCTTCTCAATATTTTTTTTTCATTTCCCTCAACATTTTCTGCTACTCTCTAAAGATCGTTTTTATATGAATTGCTCAGATGTGCTGTTTTGACAGGCTTCAAAATCATTATACAACTGTTTCATTTTTGGCAACCTGGTCAAAGGCTAAGAGAGCTTAATGATTTTAATCTGAGCTTTCTAGAAAGCTGATGAAGAGTGGGATATTTCTAGTCTGAAATTATTTGGTTTATTCATTTTGTGATTAACATGTTTTTCTCAAAAATTTTGGCCATTATTCTGCCTTCCATAGTAGCTGAGTAACTTTGAACAAGACGTCTAACATCTTTGAAGATCAGTTTCCTTTTATGTAAAATGGGGGTATTAATATTTATACCGTCTATCTAGTAAGCCTATTCTGAGTAAAGTGCTCCATAAATGTGAAGGTGCTATCTAAATAAAGGTGTCATCGTTCTCATCATTATCAACAACATCATTCTGTTTGCTATCATTGCATCACGAGATTTTACTTTCTTATACTTTGGTACAGGAAACCCCATGATTTTAATGCACATATTCTCACTGAGAATGGAAAGAATGACATGTTATTTTTCTCTCTGTAGGAACAGAAGAAGAAGATGAAGGGGATGACCTCTTACTGGGGTCTGTGGATGAGTTCTGGTGGTTTCCTCACATGTGGAGTCACATGCAGCCCCATCTCTTCCACAATGAGTCATCTCTGGTGGAGCAGATGATTCTTAACAAAAAATTTGCCTTAGTAAGTAGTACTTCTTGACCTTTGGATTTAACTAAATAGTGTATTTATGGAGAGTTGAATACCAGATGTTTTTTACACTGACTGTGAAGGAGTTATTTTTTGCATTATCATGAGGCCTTGTGATGTCACAATAAGAGAGCTAGGCATGTAATAAGGATTCCTGGTTTTTCACTCTGCCTCCCAGGAAAGTCATTTAACTTTTTCTGAACCTCTTTATCAGTAACATGGGGAATGATACTGGTCCTTCCCATTTACAAGGTCCTATATTAGAGCTTGAAGGGATATGGGAGATTATCTAATTCAATCTCTTCAGTTTATAGATTTAGAAACAGAAACTCAGTGAAGTTAAATAAGCTAGCCTAGCTCACAGAAGTATGGATTCATGGTTTTAACACAGATTTCTAAATTCAAATCCATTTTTCCCCATTTTAACGTCAGGAAAATTAATCACAAAATTAGAAGCCATATAAAGAAGCATTTTATTAAGAGAATATGGGATAGAATGCTGGTCTTGGAATCAGGAAAATTTGAATCTGAATGCTATTTTAAATGGTTACTAGTTGTGGGAAACTGCCGAAGTCACCTAACCACCATCAGACTCAGTTTCTCACCTGAAAAATGGTCATAATAATAGTATCTATCCCACAGGTCATTGTGAAAATCAGTTGAGATAATATATGTAAAAGGCTTTATAAACTTATAGATCTATGTAAATATTAGTTTTGCTATGAAATACTTTTTTATAAGGAAGCTAGCCAAAACAAGATGAGAGCTTTGCCATCACCGGGTACCCACTTTGTGTCAATCGTTCTTCTCTGTATTTTAGATGATAAGATGATTAATAGAACTGATTCTACCATCTACTTACAAAACTTGAGTCATTTTGCTGCAGACATATCCCATTAGGCAATGGTCCCTGTACATCAACAAGCTACAGTCTCATTAAGGAGACAAGTTATATGAATATGAAATGGCTAAATAACAATATAATAACATTTAAGTGCATCTCTGAGTACCGAGAAGCATTATGGCATAAATAGAAAGGTGACCTCAGAGTCAGGAAGTTCTTAGGCCAAGCCCCATCTCAGATACATTCTGGCTGGGTTACCCTAGTCAAATTGCTGATTGTTCATTATGTGCCAAACACTGTGCTTTATAGTTTCCTCAAAGCAAGTTTTAGATACTCTAAGTTGCAGAGAAAGTATTGGCCTGAATTCATAGAGAAGCCCTCACTTGAGAGATCCCTATACCAAATAAATAATAGTTTCAATCCCTAACCCTATAAGCAGAGCAATGTACAATAAGCTGGGAGAGATGCCCCAATGTATAGATTATAGATTAAGAGCTGGAAAGAACTTCATAAATAATTTAGGGTCATTTTCTTATTTTGTGGTTGAGCCAAGGAGGTTAAGCAACATGAGCAAACAGAATGTGGACCCACATTCTCTGACTTCAAACCAAGACTTTTGCCACTATAGCAGGGGTGGGGAACCTGTGGCCTCAAGGCCACATGTGGCCCTCTAGGTCCTCAAGTGCAGTCATTTGCCTGAATCTAAACTTCACAAAACAAATCCCCTTAATAAAAGGATTTGTTCTGTAAAACTTAGATTCAGTCAAAAGGCCGCACCCAAGGACCTAGAAGGTCCTGGTAGTAATGCATACTATATCCATTTCAAACAGTCCATGTCTTTATGAGGTTTATAGTTTAGTAGTAGTATAAGACACCAAGAAATAGATAATATACATTGTTAATTTTAAAGTACATCAGAGAAATACAGAACAAAATGTTAGGTAATATCTGAAAAAGAAGACCATTATTGACTCAGGAGATCAGCACTTCAGTAATTCCAAGACCTGGGATTTTATCATTGTAGGCATACCCACTAATGCTGATTTTAACCTATCTGAGACTTGTTTATTATTATCATTATTATTATTTATTATTTATTATTATTATTATTAAACACTTACGTAGTCCTTTAAGTTCATCTGTCCCATTGGTAGTACCACCCTGGCACAGTGATACATTGGCACATCATAGGACTATCATAGAGGAACAACAATCAGTGTGATGGAAACAAGTGCCATGCAAGTTCAAAGGTTATGCATGTTCATGCATTTCTGTGAATTATACTAACAGGTGCAAAAAATGGAAAGGAAGGTATTATACATTACAATGATTACCACTAAATAAATAACAACGAAAGAAAGTCAATGCAATAATATCAGTCATAACATTTTATATCCTTCATTTATTTAGAGAGGCCGTCATGGTACTGATTGGCTTTGAAGTCAGATAAATTTTGGCTAAAGTTCTATTTTGGCACTTACATGATCTGCGTGACCATAAGGAAGTCACCTGATTTCTCAGTGCCTCAGGCAACATTCTGATTCTATAAATTACAGTTGTGATACTTTTCTGAATTTGAATAGTCTGTGTCTAAGCTGAGGTTCTCCACACTGATGAAATGACAGGCCTAGACTCCCTCCTCCCCCCACCCCCCAAAAAATATCACAAAGTAAAACAATGTAGAAATATGTTTAAATAAGGCTGTGGATTTTAGTGGATTAGGTGCTGGACATTATCATTAGCAATACCCGGGTTCAAATTTTGCCTCTGCCATTTATGAGCTGTGTTGCTGAGCAAATCATTTAACCTCTGCATGCTCCGGGCAACTTCCCATGATTTATCTACAAAACAATAGGTGGTTGTCAATATGATCTAGTTGATGGAAGTTGTCCATGACAGTGGAATTACAGATCCTGCTTTCAAATGTTATGATTTGCGTGTTGCAGGAAATCCCACAAATTCAAGTTATCCATACTGCTTCCAAGCAAATCTCCATGTTTCTGTATAGCCTCTTCATTTCTCCATGGACAAAACTGCTTTGATTCTATTAAACACTTTTCTTGGGGTGAATTGAGAAACTCTACAATGGTATCCAACCAAAAAAGGAATCATAGCCTTTAGTATGGAGAACAGGCATTTAAGGTGTAAATTGAAGCAATAGGCATGGATTATTCCCCCATACCTAATGTAACAGCATCCTCCTTACCTGCAATCATCCTTACATTCTAGTGATCTGATTGAAATAATACTAATAGGCACTAACAGTTCAATCTGGCCACATAGAAATGTTCTCAGTTTGGGGATTTTCTCAGAAAGTAGACGCTCAGCCAAAAATTAAGACTTAAAAGTATTTAAACTCGGTCATTAAATGTCCTATTTCTCTACACTATTTTCCCATATTTCACAGCTATTTTCCTGCAAAAATAGGGTAGACGGATTATTTGGTAATCTTCCTTCAGCAGCTGGTAGAAACTCTGGCAGCAACAGAGAATATTTTTTTTTTCTTGGCAAGTTGCCTAGATATAGAGCTGTCAGTCTTCTGGCTGATCAACATTTCAAAGCTGATAACCATTTAAATGCTATAGGATTAAACCTGAATTCTCGGTTAAGTGCTAAGGTTTGTTTAACCCCTTGGTAATTAGTTAATGTATCAGAGGGAACAGGGAATTTTAGTTATTATTTTTATGCTTTCAGTAAAGAGAAGAATAAAATGTGTTTGTAACTAGCTCAGGATCACACAGGAATACCACACCTGTCCCAGTGTTGCAATTTAGTTTAAAAAACACAGCCAAAAATACTTCATATGTACCTTGGCAATGAATTCAAACTCACAAGAAAGCTAGAGGAATAGCATCCTTCTATCTTGATGTCAAAAACCATTATTATTGTTTGCAAAAACCCTTTGAGGCTGAGGTTCATTTAACTTAAAAAAAAAGACGGAACTAATAATAACAACAATAATAATCTAGTGTGTGTTCAGTCATGTCTGACTCTTCATGACCCAATTTGGGGTTTTGTTGTCAAAGATACTGGAATTGTTTTTCATTTCCCTCTCCAGATCTCTTCACAGATGAGAAAACTGAGGCAAAAAAAGGGCTATATGACTTGTCTAGGGTCTCACAGCCAGTAAGTGTCTAAGGTCACTTTTGAGCTCAGGAAGATGACTCCAGGCCCAGAATTCTATCTACTGCACTACCTAGCTGTTAATACTATTAGGATGTGGTATATAAAGGTACAGTAGAAAGAGCAATAGTTCTGGAACTGTAGGACCAGGATTCAATTTCTACCTCTAAGTTTACTACCTACATGACTTTGAGCAAGTTAGTTAACCTCCATCATTAAGTCTGAGGCCTTCTTGGGCCTCAGTTTGCTCATTTTTATATGACCTGTGAGGCTTTTTCCAAATATAGATCTAACATGCTAAATTGTTGTGTGCACTAAAAATCTTGTGCTGGTGTCGTAAACACTCATATTTCCATCTTCAGAGCTTCAGAAAGAAAATAAAGTAAAAAAATATATTTTCCTCACTTTTTTTGGTGGGGGGAGAAGGGTAGAAGGATGGACAATATAAATATGTGTGTGTGTTAATACTGAAATAAATTCATGACCTTGGCTCTGTGGGTATTTTCTCCAGCTTTGTGAATTACAACCTATTCATGCTTTCTCATTTTTATGCAATATTTTTCTTATCTTTACCCAACATGTTAGAAGTCTTCATTTGGTTCTTTTAATATTTCATGGATACAAGTGCAATGTCCTGGGTGTATAGCTATTATCTCTCACTCTCGTTACATGACTAGTCCACCTAATTTTCCATATTAAACAGGCTTTTGATGATATCGCTAATGCTTTTTGTGTCATTTACCATTCACTTCTGGGATTATAGTTTTTTGTGATTTGTATCCACCCAACATCATCAAGATAATATTGGTATTTACATAGGTAAGCCACTTCGGATCAACAAAACTCCAAACAACCTCAGAGAGTATCCAATCTAACCCATACCTGACCATGCATTCTAAATCATTTATGAGAAAGTATTGTTGAACTTTATTGTCTCCAATTACCGGGAAATTCAATATCTTACAAGTGAGAGTTCTCAACTTCTGTGCATTCCTAATTATAAAGAATTTTCCTTACATTGAGCCAA